AAGTCAAGAGCCACGTGGCAAGGTATAGATTTATAGAAATGGGTTAATATAAGATATAAGAACAGATAGCAGAAAGCCTGCCACAACCATACATTTATAAGTAATATAAGTCTTTGTAAGTTTACTTGGAGGACATGAGTGTGAGAAATTTGTCCTGACTGCCAGCAGGCCGGGACACAGGAAAACTTCAGCTACAGTGGCTATCAGTTCTACCAACTCTCTATAGGTAGTGTGTCTCAGAGGTCACCTGGTTTCCTCTGCCTCCCTGCACAAGGTGACCCACAAGACAATCTCATTGGGATTATTCACTGTTTCCCATGATGTGACTTGGCTTCGGAGTCTTCAGTCCTCTTTTTTCAGAGCCAGAGGAAAACTGGTACCATCCACAGGCTCACAGGCGGTGTGTGGGGTGTCCAAGTACTTTCTGGATGCTTCAGATCTTCACATTGATAGAAAAGTCATGCAGGACAAAACTTAGTCATCAGATTCACCACCCCTTCCTCACTGACAGCTCAGGGCACTCAGAGCTGCCAGGAAGGGACAGTTTCTCTCCTAATACACTGCCTCTAAAAGGCAGATAACTATGAGTTTCCTCATTTTTATACTCCTATAAGAAATGTTCTCATTTCTTGAGATGCATTAGAAAACACAGGTATATTTCAAAAAAATATGATATGAATTATCATGTCATGAACATGAACATGAACATGTGTGTATCTAGTCTCTGTTTTTTTTTTGGAATAGCTAAACATGTGGAGTCATATATTGAATATGGATCTTTTTCCATCATGAAGTGGATGTTCATGTTGTAGGCCATGTGATTCACACCCAAGACACCATCCCTGTTTGCAAACCTGCCTAAGTCTCTTGGAACTTGCAGATATCCATCTCTGCCTGTTGAGTTCTAAGGTTACAGGAGTGTAATACACATCTGACTACTAAAGCTACTTTAAGAATGAAGAGTTGGAAATTGCTTTTTTATATATGGAATTACAGAAATTGAACTCAATAGTGGCTTTAAAAGGGCATTTAGTATATCCAGTGTATACGCGTAGCCAAATATAAAATCAAAGAAAGAACAAAAGAACCAAAAAGTATCAAACACCAAACAAAACAAAGAATATCAAAACCTGAATTGAAACAAACACAACAGCAAAACAAAACTATTTACACTAAGAAGCATTCTCTTCTTGCAGATTTATTGGCACTATCCTATACCCTGTGGTTGGATTTGGACACAAGTTAGAAGACAACCATAACTGGCATCATGGTCTCTTCAAGACAAGTGCATTCATTCCACTCTGAGGCTTTTAGGTTAAGCCCTTGACAAAGTTGATCTTATGCCATGTTGGCCACTATATGATTCTGTCTGCCAACATGTGTCTGTGTGCCCATTCAAGAGTAAAAAATGACACAGGGAGCATCTCTTACCAAAAGACATAAAAGCTCATGGTGACATCCTTCCTAAAACATCTCTCAGAACAATTCTCTTCACCATCACATGCTCA